GTATCGCTGGATGACCCTATGCAAAGTAATACACTTCAGCGACACATCTACTGCCTTTCATAACAAACGATGAGGGTCTGATCTTGATGCTCTTAGCAAGAGGTACTTCATACACTCCTCTCTTTTCAATCTCGATCTATACAAAGATGAGTGGAAGGCTGTCACAAACACATGGCATAAGGTTGAGTATAAGTGGGGCAAGGACATCCCACCATGGAAACCTGGTATGCCTATGCCTTGGGATGCCCCTTCCGAAGATGCACAGTCTGAATCACACACATTCGAGCCTATTTCTACTGAATCAATATCTGCTTCTACCCCTCTGGCCATATTTCATTCTGCCCCTAAACCAGCACAGCAATATGTCTCGGTTGAGGAACTCAACAGGTTTAGGACTGACCTAGACAACAAGTTTGACAACATGTTTAATCTGATCGCATCCAAGCTTCCCAAGGATCCCCCTCCAACTTGATGATCATATTCAGGGAAGATAGGACAACTCGTGCAGAATTAGTCACGATAGGAAGAGGACAACAATATGTATTTCTTTTTGAACATTCCTTTTGTACGCACTTATTGTTATTCGATACACATTCCTCTTTTGCACTTAATGATAGGAATCCAAATTTTTTTTATGATTACAAAGGGGGAGAAATAGAAAAGAAATTAATCAAATACGTGTTAATGATTGAATAAAAAGTAAGGGATAATCGAGTAAAGGGGAGAGCATACACTCAGGGGAGAGTTATGTTTAATGAATAACATAATAAACAACAGGGTTATAAATAAAATCGAGCACTTCAAACTCAAGTTTAAGTCTTCAAGTTTTTGTCTCAAGTTTCCAAGGTTTATCTGAAACAACTTTGATTAATTATATTTGTCATCATCAAAAAGGGAGAGATTGTTAAGTTAGACGAAGAAATTCCCAAAAAGGTTTTGAGTGAGATAAATATAATATGTTGTTATCTCTAACAAGTGAGTTAGTGTTTCAAAAAGACATAAGAACAGGTAAAATGATGAAGAGGCATAAGCATTAGACGCTACAAAACGAAAGGCCAACATAAGCACTCAACAAGCCAAATCAGGAACAAGACCATGTCAAGCACAATCTAAGGCAACACATAAAAACTCATACGGAAGATGGTCAAACGACCAAGAAACTTCAGAAGAAATGGAAAGTCTGACCATATACAAGGTTGACCAAGATGAAAGGAAAAGTCAAAACGCTAATGATCAGACAAAGGTCGAAGTATTAAACTAAATATCGACTACCAGACGCAGACAAAGAATGTCACGCAATCATCTGAGAAATCAAGGCTCAAAGGAGAATTTAAATATTTTCTACACTCACAGAAAAACACACGAATTCATTTGAATTATTAGAAGAAAAGAAGAAAGAAGAAGAACATGCTCAAACGCTAAATCATGTATATGTTAGAAAAAGTACATCACTTATTCAGGCAAGGACAAAAGCTCCACAACTATAGGGTCAGAAAAGGACAGAAGTTTCCTAGGACTCTACTACAATCAGATACAACTACTAACTGAGCAAGAAAACTTCACGCATTGTCTATAAACGGGAAGCAACATTAATGCACGAATCTGAGCATTAAATGAGAAGATCAAACTGGTCGTGAACGGCTATATTTGCTTCAACGGACAATTGCAACGGGCAGATCTCCACTAGACTATATATATATCACTATCTCAAACCTTAAGAGGTTGGATTTTGATTGGAAGAAAAAGAGTGATATCAAACTCGCAAGACAGAGACCAGAGATGAGCATACATAGTCATATGTAAAATGTTATATTGTATTTTTATCTCTGTAGACTAAGGTATTCGAAATGTCAATAATGGACTAAACCTTAGTGAGTGTTGTAAACTTATGTATCCTCTCCATAAGAGTAACCCACACACTCAAAATCTCTGTAAAACTAAGGTAGCAAACCTTAGTGAGTGTAGAAAGTTCCCAATCCTCTCTGTGAGAGTTATGTATGCACTCAAACACAAACACAAATCTATCATGTAGAAAGCCTAAAGAGGCTAGGGAAAAAATACTTGTAAAGCCCGGAGGGGCTTGTCAAAGAATACTCACTACTAGCCAGAAGTGGCTAATAAGAAAATACTAGCGTTGGTGAGTGAAGCCGACGGGCCAGGAGTGGTCAAGAATACTTGGAGAACCAGAAGTCGTTTAAGAATACTAACGCTGATGAGTGAAGCTAGCGGGCCAGAAGTGGTCGAGAATACTTGAACTAGAAGTGGTGTAAGAATACTAGCGTTGGTGAGTGAAGCTGGCAGGTCAGAAGTGGTCGAGAATACTTGGGCTAGGAGTGGTCGAGAATACTTGGACCAGGAGTGGTTCTAACCTAGGTGGTTCATAATACTCATTGCTAGCCTGAAGAAGCTGAGAAGAATATACTAGCGTTGATGAGTGAAATCAACGGGCCAGAAGTGGTCAACAATACTTGTGTACTTTATTTCATATCTAGTAGAACCCTTCAAGTTGAAGGAGACTGGACGTAGCTCAGTTGAGTGAACCAGTATAAAAGTGATTGCACTACTCTATCTATCTTTTAGACGCAGATTATTTTCAATTGTAAAATTACCATTAATCTTCTTCTACTTTCTATTCTTCATTAAAACCGTTTTTCAAACGAAGACGCAAATTTTGTTTAACAAACATATTAGACTGAAAAGCTTTATCCTCTACTTGTCTTCAAGTGAAACTATCCTGAAAAGGAAAATGTTAGAACTTCAATAATTATCATTATAAAACATTTTTCTCAGTAAACGATGAATCCTTCAAAAGCAATGACATTATGTCAACTAAATTCTGTGTAACCGTCTGACAATCTAAAGTGCATTAGACGAAGAGCATTACTCTTGCGAAAACATTTCTAAAATTCCTTCGTACTAACACACACATATTCAACCCCCCTTCTATGTGTTTTTTCGCTAACTTCATCATGTGCGTATATGATCTATTCCAGGTGTGTCGCTTAGGCCGCATACCAGTGATGTAACAAGCTAACAAGGTGTACCTTAGGGTCACCAGTGATGTAACAAGCTATGTGATGAAATGACTTATTCCAGGTGTGCTACTTAGGCCGCATACCAGTGATGTAACAATCTATGTGATGAAATGATGAGAAATGTGAAACTTCCGTATGGCGCCACATGCATACATTTATGAGTCGAGTCCATGACATCATTGCATGATAAATGAGTGTGCATGTGATATTGATTGTGCATGTGTATTGTTTACATGTGACTTATGTTTGTTGTGTGTGTGTGTTATCTAACCTTTATTTCTGCACCTGGAACCGAGTAAGATATTTCTCACTCCCTTGTTGTTCATTGTATGTGTTTAAATTTTGTTGCAAGTGATCATCAGCATGAGGATGTTGGTGATTAGGCTTATGCTTCAGTTGGGCATGCACTGATAGGATATGTGACATCGGGGCTTAGCTAGGTTTAGCATTGGAGTTTCATTACTATTATTGTGTTTTGGAAATATTGATGTTTTACTTTGTCATCATTTTCGCATTGGACTACGATTTGCGAAATATAAATGTGAATTCTCTATCTATGTGTTTTGAAACCTTATTTTTAAGAAAGTTTTATTTACTCAGGAATGTACTTTATATTTATTGTGTATTATGTATGTGGGGTAGAGGGTGTCACACTACTAATCCTTATCTTTGAAATGAAGACATGTTTGATTAAGATTAGTCCAAGATTTTTCATTATTTTCAAGATGCTCCCAAAAGATAGTACGTTTCTGTCACTAAAGATAAGATTATCACTCAAGATAAGATTGCCACTCAAGATAAGATTCTCAAGACAATCAAGATAAGATTCTCAAGACAATCAAGACAATATTCAAGATCCCCAGGACTTTTTTCAAGATGCTCAAGTAATTATAATATAACTTTAAGTTGTGTCAGCCATAATCTCTTTTGTTTTATATAAATAATATATGTACCTCTTCAATATCTTTTTACTTTCTTGTTATACCCTCAATAAGTAAGGGATATTAGTGTTCTTGTGTGCAATTTCCCTTATGTGTAATTTTCTATATAAGGATGCCCTGATGTTTGTAAGGGGAATCAAGAGTTTTAGATAATAAAAGCTTTGCTACTCTGTTATCAATCTCTTTGATCCTTCTCTTGTAAGTTTTTCATTATGAATCTTATTTCTTTTATTTTACTACTTTCACTAAAGTTACAATTTTTCCTGTTGCTTCCGCAAGAATGGTATCAGAGTCATTCTAATTATTATTGATTACTAGATAATTATTATTGTTTTTATTTTAATCTTATCTTGCTCAATAATATTCTTCTAGCTTTCCACTTTAGACTTTCTTTGGGAAAGTAGAAGTTAGGGTTATACACTCTTATTGGTGGTCCTGACAATAAAACCCAGGTGAGGTAGTGAATCCGTTGGTCAGCCATGGATAGAGGCCAAAATAGTAGTAGTTGTTGTTGTTATTATTATTATTATTATTATTGTCATTATTATTGTTATTGTCATTATTATTATTGTTATTGTTATTATTATTATTAGTATTATCATTATTATTATTTTTGTTATTATTATAATAATAATAATAATAATAATAATAATAATAAGTGGAGACAAGTACTACAATATTGACATTGATATGACGGTACAATATTTTGCAATTGAAAATTTACATATTATGATCCAATTTGTGTAAATTTAAAATAATTATTATTAAAAAAAAGATTTTTTAAAAGAGGAGAGATCAAAGACTCCAAGAGTGACTCTTGTTTAAAAAAAACTAAAAAAACTGGTGATTTTTAAAATGTCCAATTTAGATGGACACATCGACAATTAAATATTTACTTTTTTAATTAAAAATAACACTTTTAATAAAATGGTAAGCCCGTAGTAGGAGAATCAACGGTAAATGGTAAACACTTGAAGGAACATAAACTAAACCATGACTAAACATGAGAGTGTAAACATTACAGGTATTCTAATCAAAGGTTATAATTCTACCCTTAACCAGATCCAAAACACTTGAAGGAACATAAACTAATCATACATGAACTAAACATAGGAGTGTAATACAACTACCAACTGTAAGAGAAATTAAAATGGAAAAGATGCTCTAAATAGGACATATGCATCTTTGTCTGCTTCTAGTTGATCTCCAAGGGTTTTTTCTTTGGCCTCAATCTCTGCAAGATCAAAAACCAGATCTTTAGCCTGATGAGCCCACACGATGACATCATTCTTTAGTGTTTCTCTTTGTTTCTGGCCTTCACTAATAGCCAACTCAAAAGTTTCCCTCTCTTCCTTCAGTTTGGATAACTGTTCTTCAATTTGTTGAATGCAAGAAGATATTTGATTGACCCTATTGTTGGCATTCGAAATGGATGTAGTGATTTGTTGGTGTGTATGTTTAGCTTCTTGCAGTTTAACAAAGATATCTTGTTTAGCTTCGTCCAGTTCAACTTTCTTCATTCCGGCCATATCACATTCTTTGCGGTGAGTAACAGCATTGTTGAAGAAGAGTCTGAAAGCATTTATGAAGTCTTGCTGGGCAAGAGAAAGAGACTTCTCATTCTTCTGCAACTCTTCAAGAATAAGTAGGGCCTTTGAGATTTGTTCATAGTCAGCAACAAAATCACCAAAACTAAAGGTCTGCATCAAGTCTTTTAGCTCTTTTAACAGAACAACAGCAGAGGAACTTTGAGCTTTTAGTTGTTCTGATTGTGGCATCTTGGAAGAAATGGAAATCTTCCCTGTCAGAATATTTTCAATAGCACTCAAAGGGTCATCTTCGATCATCTTGTTAATGGCTTCTCGATTGAGTGGGGTGTTTACAGTAGAGACTTCATCAACCTGATCTTGAGCATTGGCTGGAGCATGGTTCACCTTCTCTGACTCTTTGATGAGGCTTTTACTCAATACTTGCTCAGCAGTCTTTGTATTTTCAATATGACCAGGTGAAGGAGGATCTTGACGATGGAGAGATGCAGTAGTAGAACTTAAAATTTCAATAGTTGAAAGCTCTGTAGGGGAAGTTTTCTTTGATGGGGACTTGCTTGTTTGCCCTTTCCCATCTACTTGTGAATTTTCTGCAGTACTTGTTTGCCCCTGTTATGATTAGAAGAAATGTTGACGAGATTAAGTAGTAGAGATACTTGACATGCAGTGATGCAAGTAATTTTGCCTTCAGTAGTGTAATTAATTTTACCTTCATTGAATCCTCAGATGAAGATACTTTAAGCACATTTTTGGCAGTTCTATCCGCCACATGTTTTACTCTTTTAGATCTTCGGGGTGTTGATGAAGGACTCCATGTCTGGTTGATTACAAACTCGGTAGGCTGCTAGGAAGAAGAAATTCAGAAGAAAGACAATGCAGTAAGTTTTGCGCAATTCAAACAAATCAAATAGGAGTTACCTTTGTTTTACGTGGTCTTCCGCGTCTCAAATGTCCCAAAACTTCACCTGTGGAAGATGAATCTTCAGATTTCATCGTTGCAAAGTTGGTGTTTGATTCCCATTCTTCTTGTTCTTCAGGAGGACCCATCACTTCAGTTGTTTTTGAAATTAGAAAGAAAATCATTTTGGTTAAATATACGATGAAAATGTTGGAATGAAATGCATGAATTATATTAAATGTACCAAAGGGAGAAGGTTTCAGCATTTTGATACATTATGAAGAATGCCATAAAAACTATTTAGGTAGTCTTCAGTAAAATATTCAATTCTTTGGTTCCTATAAAGACCTAAAGGTCCACTTGGTGGGTCTGCAGACATCAATCTTGCTGAAGGGAGTATTAGGTAGTGCAAAAAACTTTGGATAAGGTTTTTTGAATTCCTTGTATTTAAGTCATGGCTTTGACACCTGGATAAGGTTTTTTGAATTCCTTGCATTTAAGTCATGGCTTTGACACCAAGGTCACCATGCAAGGCAAGTTATGTTTCTGATTAAAACAGTTAAGCACCTCAGCAAATAAAAGTTTACACCTTAGAGAGAACATTGGACTTACACAAGGGGATTTGAATATAAAAACCACTTCTAGATAACAAATGAGTAAGGAATTGAAAAATGGATTAAAAAAAACACCCGAGATCAACTTCTTTTGTCCTAATTAAGAAGAGTCTTTAGAAAATTTCCTATCATTAAAGTTACAAAAGAGTTGAAAAGCTTATACCTGTAATTCTGTAAATGAACAGACTAGATATTATATATCCACACAAATCATGTATGTATGTATGAACAAACATCACTATCAGTGACTGCGGCATGCAACTGCATGTCTGCAACTCTATCTACAAACATAATGTACCAGAGTACAAACATACATAGCTTCAATTTCTAAACAAAATTCTTACCAGATCTTGTTCTTGTTTTACCACTGCCCTCACAAAAATCCCGTGGTAGCATCTCCGTTGACCAATGTTTCGGAACATGTTGTGAACATTCAGGCAGTTGGCCTTCTCCAACTTGAGGTTGTTCTGGATTAGCCTTGGGCAGGTTGGTACCATCAACAGGCTTTGCATTGTTATACTCAGTTGATCTAGCTGCATTAGCTTTCAAATTTTCCAATACCTGCCCAACATAATCATTATGGTAAGCTCATTGAGGCCACGAAACAAACACATAAAAATAAGAGTTAATCACCTATATACTGCCAGTGTAAAGTTTTTTTACACTGACAACTAATTATATCTTTTAATTGTACCATGTCACTATAAACACATTTACTTTTAACAGTGACATGGCACAATTAAAAGATATAATTGGTTGTCAGTGTAAAAAAAACTTTACATTAACAGTGTATAAGTGATTAACTCTAAAAACAAACCATGTAATAAGGCACTACCCCAAAAACCATGAATCTAAACACAAGCCAAGAGTTTTGAGAATACCATTGGCATTGAGAGATGTTTAAATATGCAATCATAGCCTCCAACAAAATTGTAAATACCATCACCTGGATATGCTCGGGAGAAGTTAGGTGTACACCTGTAGACTCCGCCATAAGTACCACATTACAAATCTGGCAAATAGGCTGACATAATTCATTATACCTGTATGTACATGCAGACAGTAACAGTCAAAACCATATCAGGTATTATATTAAGAGTCTGTTTGGATACAAGTTGAAAGCTTTTTACAGACCTTATCTACCGAAAATAGAGAACATTTTCTAGTAGAGAAACTCTCAAAAGTGTTTCTAAACTTGTATCCAAACAGACTTAAAGAAAATAACACAAGCATTCCTTGCAAGCTCTTTCATTTAATTTTTCCAAAATCTAATACATAACTTGACATTCTCATTGCATATGGAAATGTTTTAAACAACCATATAAAGCTTGATTGGATAAAAATTAAAAGTGCTTTTGGGAGCTTCACTATTGTAAATAGAGTAATTTTTAGTAAAGAAACTTTCGAAAGTACTTCTAAGCTTATTCAATCAGACTCATAGTAGACAAAATGAAACACATCTTGAGAAAGCTTGGTTTTACGTTGAGGAATGTCTCAACAAGCACACGAGTAGCTATAATAAAATGTACACACTGTTGCAGACTCAAACAAAGTTCCCAACACATACATTACAAGAAAATTAAACAAATCAACAAATGGTCACAATGGCTAAAAAGAACGCGTTTAGGGACTATCATGTCATTCTCGTATGAAGAACAAACAGGGTAAGAAAAAAAATCATGATGGGTGAGTTGCTGTGCTTGTAACTGAAGCAGTGAACAGTAACAAATAAACACATGCATGGGCAAAATTGGGAAAAGAGAAAAAGTAGAATCAAAGTTAGAGTTAAATGCATGAAGAAATGAAGAACAAAAACGGTAAAAAAATAAAATCACAAGAGCCTGATGGGTGAGTTACTGAATGGTAACAAATAAACACTTGCATGGGCATGGACAAAGAATTAAAACAAAAAAAAAAAAATGTTGAAGAAGTAAGAGTTAAATGCATGAAGAAGTGTAGCAAAGTACGAACCTCACAAGGGGAAACACTATGCCTTTGTCTTTCCTCTGGGTACTCAAACTAACAAGAGACAATGTGTTTCTCTTGATCGGAGTTTCCATGTGTTGTGTTCTTTGGAAGATGGTGAAAAACCAGCACTTTTGAAGATTCACTGCAACGAAAACGACGATGTTTTAATTGCTGTTGTTTTCTTTTGAGCTGAAATGCGTCTTTTCAGTAATAATGATACGTTGGAAAGTAACTAACTACATGAGGTAAATTTGGAAAAAGAAAAAAAAACTTTTAAAAATTAAATTCGTTAAGATTTTACATCTAAATGAATTATGGGAGTGGATCACGGAGCAGCACCATGCATCAGGTCTTTAATTTGGGTTTATATTGTTCTAGATTACTAGTAATTAATCTCTTTATTTTTTTTAAATAAAATAGGAGTAATTTTTTTATCAATATTAAATAAGAAACCAGAAATTACAACTGGAATTGGGCATGTCTCCCAAGTGATGAAAGTGTGTTGGGAATATTTCCCACCCAATAAACATGAATAAAACAGTTTCCAAGGTTTATCCTTTTAAGACCTGAAACGCCTGGTTCGGGTTGATTCACGCTTAAATAAGGTTAGGAGTTCGAATCCTATCTTGTGTATATACCCGCGTTAAATCTTGGAACCAGCTATCCCATTCTTTGAATAAATATAATTAATTTTTTACTTAATTTCAGGATTTGCGATAATGGACGGTTACGGATCATAATTAATCAATATCTATACATTAATTAAACAAAATAAATATTTTAAGGCGTTTTTTTTCTTTTCTAGAGCGTTCTTATCGTATTCAATTGTTTATTTATCATTTTAAATTTGTATCTCAAAGATATTTAAACAAATTTAATTAGAAAAAGAAAGTGATTGAAAATCAAAAGCATTATGCAAGAACATTTCCTTTGTTCTTCAGCTAATATACAAAAAGAGTTAAATTAAAGCTAGACAATAATTTATGTTGGTTTTAGTGTTGTAATCGAATTTTAGTTTCTTTCGATAAAAATCTGATAATTTATATTAATGTAACGTTAAAAGTTGATATAATGTATTGGTATATCTGATTACCTTCATTATAATATATTTATCTTATTTAATATATTTATATTTTTGAGAAAACATATTAACATATATATTAATTTATATTTATAAAATTAGTGATTTATCTATAAATATATTGATAATATTATTGATATAATATCAAAAATTATAATATACGTTAATTTGAATAGATAAATAATTATTTAATTTTAAATATATATATATATATATATATATATATATATTATTTGATATATGAATGAAAATTTAATACATATATACTTTAATGTTAAATCCAAGGCTCATCAAGAATGGAATTGAATTGATGTTTAAAACTTTAAATGCACAACAAAATCATTTCAAACCTTGTTCTTGATTTCAAATAATACTACTTAAAATATTTATTATTGAAAAAGAATCTCTTGACTTTTAGAAAAGTTACTTCACAAACAAACATAAAATATTAAATACTTTATTTTAGATTATCAACAACTTGGAAATAGAATTTCAAGAACAATAAACAATATTAAAGATTAAAGTAAGATAATGTAAAAATAATGAGATTCACACAAAAATTTATATCGGTTCACTTTTCACAAAAAGTTAAATTTAGTATTCTGTAATCAACTATTGATCACAAATAATCTAATATAAATAAAAGTGTTATTATGAATCAAGTTAGTTAATTACACTTAAATCAAAGACATTCCTATAACTCCTATTAAAACTTTTGACTAAGGGGGGTGTATTGGTTTAGGATTTCGTAGGATTTTAAAAGACTTTTTTTGAGTAAAAAAGTCTATTGGTATTCAATCAGGATTTTATGTCACTTAAAAACAATCCAGTGGTATTCAATCTGGATTTTTAGGATTTTTTAAAGAGTCCATTAAAATCCACTGGTATTCATTTGAGATTTTTTACAACTTAAAAACAATCCATTGGTATTCAAAAATTTAAGGATTTTAAAGGATTGTTGTGTGAGAGGGATTTTGAAAGACTTTCTAGTGTTATCTATAAATACCAAATTCATAAAACAATCCCATCCAAACCCATCGGATTTTGAAGGATTGTTTGAAATGATTTTTCAAGTGTTTTAAGAATTTTCAAGTGAGTTTTTCATCTTTTTTTTCTATGCTCCTGTCTTCTCCATTTTTTCTCTACTAATAATACTACACTATTGTTCATTGCTCATATATAATACTATTCTCATACCATTCTCCTATTTTGTGAAACTCTAATATGTAAATGATAGTGTCATTGACTTGTTTTATTTTTCTGTTCGTTCTCTTTAATTGACTTACTTTATTTTATTCTATGTAGTTGAATTTGTTCCTTTATATAACACAAAAAAATACTTGAAATTTTAACTTTTAAGTGGTAATTTTTTTTATGACACACGTTAAGAAAAGAAAAAGGTGAAAGATGAAATTGATATCATAATCTCAACAATATATATATATAAATATATATATATATATATAAAAGATGAATTTGTTAGGGTTTTTGTGAGTAGAATGAGATAAAAATGGATCTTAGTAGGGGGAAGAACCCTCTTAGCATAAAAATTGCGAATTCTCTCTTTCCCTTGAATTTGTTACTCTTATCCCTCCTCCTTTTATGACTCAACAATTATTTTATTTTTTTTACTATGAATTTTTCTTTTTTATTTTTATATTATGAAATTAAGATTTTTTATATTTTAAAAAAAGAAAATTAACATAAGACATTGCAATATCTAATTTTTTAGGGTTTAGGATTTATGCCTTCATTAACTTATTTTTTAAAAAAGAAAATATTGTTAAAATATTTGTTAGAATAATTTATATTTATAAATATCGTTAAAAATTATCATATATATATATATATATATATATATATATATTCTCTATATCTAAATACTTCTGTTTATATAAAAAAAATTATATATCTAAATATTTTTTCAGTATCGAATATACTAATTTTTTTATATAAAAAATTATCTTATGTTTCTATATTTTCGTTTTTAAATTTTTTTTTATAATAACTGAGGTATTTGATCCATTTGGATAGCAAAAATATATTCGATCTTGTATGATGGTGTGCTTCTAAAAATAATAATATAATTTTATTGATTTTGTCTATTATCCGTAATTATTTATATAACTATTTTTTAACATATATTGTTTTAGTAATTCAAATGGGAGATTCACAAGGAAATAATAAAGAAAAATGAAAAGAGAAAGAAAACTATGAAGCTTGGATTAAGGATGATTCCGATGAATTGTTACAATTGATAGTGGATGCTATAAAAAGAGGATAGAATATTATAGAGAATTATTATTATTATTTATCTAGACATTATTTTTTTTATTTATTATTTTTATCTTTGACTCTTTTTAAATTTGAATGTATAATTTTTTTTAAATCTTATCAAATGTCAAAACTCCACAAAATCCCACAGAATCCATTAAAATCCTAATTTAAAAGTCTTGCAGAATCCATTAAAATCCTGATTTTAAGTCTTGTAGAATCTTGCAAAATCTTAAAAGTCATGAAAATCCTGCAAAGTCTTTTAAAATCCGCAGGATTTTTTTTAACCAAAAAAGTCCTTTAAAATCCTAATCCAATACACCCCCCTAAACTTCTAATAAGGGAACCCTTTCTTAATTGGTAAACATAAGAAATATTATCTTGAGATACACTTCTTTTGCATGGAACTCAAGAACGCAAAAAAGAATAGAAAACCAACCCTTTCAAAATCTTGTAATAGTTATATTAGATGAATAATGCTTTAAGTTTACTTAGACATATCTTTATCTTAGTAAGTTGTTACCTTATATCTAGAGTTGTCAAAACGGGCTAGCCCGTACCTTGACCCATTTTAAAAATGAGTCAACCAATCCTAGTCTATTTTTAATTTTTTTTTTTTAAATTTGGCCTGGCCCGGCCCACCACGGGTTGGTGGATTATACGACCCAGCCCACCAGCCACCAAAAATTAAAAAAAAAATCTATCAACAAAATTCAAAATTTTAAATTAATTATAAATTAACTTAATAGTCATAAAATTAGCATCATTAATAGTCATAAGTCATAACTCATCATACAAAATTAAATACAAATCATGATAAAAATCTAAAATAAAAAATTTTAATATCCCATCATACAAAATTAATTACAAATCATACTTAAATTTTTATTGCAAAAAATAAAAATGATGGATTGGTGGACTACCCGGCTCACCACGGGTTTAGCCCGGGTGGGCCGGGTCAAAGTGGGCCGGGTTAAGATATACCCACCTACTATAAAACTTCAAATTTTTTTTTGCTCGACCTAACCTGTTTTCAAGGTGAGCTAGATTGGCCTACGGGTCCCGATCCTCTTTGACGACTTGTAAAAACTATACTTACATTTACCTTGAAGTTGAAAGGTGGTTTAAGTCTATAGTCAATAACATAGAGAATACTTGTAAGTCATAAGTGACAATGAAAATATTTTATATTAGTTGAACCCTTGAACTTTGGAAGTAAAAGTAGATCATGATTAAGTGAAACCATATAAAAACAATTGTGTTCCCTTCTCGCTATATCTGCACTCTCTTTGGAGGAAACTTTTTTATTTAATAATTATAAATATTTTCCTTATTCTTGCAAAAAATTTATAAAAATTCATACAAACATTCAACCTCTCTTTTGTGTGTTTCGTGTCCTTTCAAACAGCAAAAAAAACAATTACTTCCCTTAAAAAGAAAATATTGAGTATTGCGAAAACTGAAAACACGTTAGGAACACACAAAAATCTTAGAAAAAGTGACGAATTCCCTAAATTTTATTTATCTCACTTGTTTGCAATTGCAAGTAAATAAATAGAGTCATAAGACTCGTGATACATAATTCTATCCGCGCAAACATCATCGTACTCATTATTCATTCAATCCTCCACTCCACATGTCCCTCATAATTTAATGAGTTACACATAACTACAAGATACAACTGGCCCAATTCTACAAGAAAAAACACATACCAAAGCCCACAAAGTGAGAATCAATAAAGACAAAAAAAAAAAAAACGTAGCAAACTAAGGCCTATTAGGCACACACAGTGTGGCTAGTTTCAGTAGTGCCCATTTTCTTCAAGCATCTTTCCCGTGAGCCCACAATTTAGAGTACCTCTAGGGATTCTCCTGACTTTGTGAACAGCCTCAGCAAAAATGACACCCATTCCCATGTGCAAATGAGGCTCAATGTGACAATGGAAGGCCCAAACCCCAGGGTTATCAGCCTTAAACCTCAACGCAGTCCAACCATATGGAAAAATAACCGCTGTGTTCCTCAACGGTGCATGTGTCAAATTGAACTTGTTCTCATCACCCGGTTTGAATTTCCCTTCCCCGTACCCCAAAACCCAAAAATCATGCCCATGCAAGTGCCAAGGGTGGATCTCACTACCATTCCCATTCAATTGGTTTGCGTTTTGCAATATCACATCGACAACCTCGTCGAGGTGGAACATGTACACACCATTGCCAATGGTCGCATTGCGTTGCGTGGGAGGGTTAAAGATGTCATAGTCTTGTGGGAAGGTCTCGGGTGGGGGGTTTCGGTCAAAGGCGTTGTTGATCTTGAACTTGATGGAGCCCAAGTAAGGGGTGGGTGGCAATGTTAGGGACACGTTGTTGATGGCCCATTTGGTGAACCCATTAACTAGGTTTTGGGTGTTTAGGAGGAACACCCTTCGGTCTGAGAATCTTGGTGGTTGTGGGGTCCCCATTTTGGCAATTATTTTTTTGGTGAAGGCTTTGCTACGCTCGAAGTCGTTCCAAAGAGGTGTGGTGGGAGGTGGAGAAGTTGGGAAAACTGAGGCAGAAATGGTTTTGTAGTTTAGAATTGTGAGGCCTTGTGGGGTCGCGGGCTTTCTTCCTCGAACCCCAATTGAAAGCCAATAGTTTTTGCTTGGGTCTTGGTCAGTTCGAAGCAGCACTGAGTAGCTCTCACCTGAGTAAATGTCAATGTCGTCGACCTCAAATGGTGTAACGTAGTTTCCATCGGCTTCCACCACCACAAGTTTGTGATTCTGCAACATGAAAACTATGATCACACTATAGCTCAAGACTTTTTGGCAAAACAAACTGTGGAATTAAGTGCAACTTTGAACTGGTTTATCATTGAAGTAACGATTTTTATGTAAGAATGTTAATTAGTAGATTAAATATTTAAATTTAAGTGCAATCAGCTTCCAATTTCTTCTTATTTTTCTCTTTCCTTTGATGCTAAAATGAGATCAACTCTTAGCCCCTCAGGGTAACTAGAGAAGAGGAAGCTAGACATAGGAAGGTTAAAAATTTGGTATCATTTGAGAAACGAGAATTCTGAAGAATTATGATGAAAATTGAGTGGAACTCACGTAAAATAATAATAAAAAAAAACTTCTCGTGTGTCAATGAATTTGAAGAGTTAAGGAAGAGGAAAGCATGGGTAAAAATAATTTTATAAAACAATATTATTATTAATAAAATTTTACTCTATTTTTTTATCTATTTCTTCTTGACTAAACAATTTTTATTTATGTTAAATTTTTTTTTACGTATTTTCATATACTTCTTTACACTTATCTTTTTTTTTTTCTTTCATTTCTTTTCTCTATTTAATATACAAATTTTTTTTTTAACTTTTTCGAATATCTAAGTTAAAAAATATTAGTTTCTCGTATTTAATTTGTTGTTTAAAAAATAATATTTTTCTGAAATATTGTTTTTGGAATAGTTTTTACATAAATTTTCTATAAAATTATTTCAATAATATAAAAAATTAACTTTTCAAGATAAAAATAAGCTTTTAATATAATAAAAAAGTTATATTACTTTTATATAATTATTCAATATAATAAAAAAAAATTAATTCTCAAATAATCCTTAAAAATATTCATAAAAATATCTATGACCAATCAAATAAATCTTGTCCGAATTTATGATTCTCAAAACAAAATTAGCTGTGTACTAAACACTCCTTAGATTCTTCCTATTATTCATCATTCCAATTTTTTTTAAAATTTTTATTCCACACATACACCAATAAATCCGAAAAATCCAGTAATCATTAAAATTTAAATGTCAACTTTGCTTTTAATTAAAAAAAAAAAAGTGAAATGAGATAGCAATATGAGACTAACACCCTAGTGCCATGATAACATTATGTACGTCCCAAACCTTTCGTCCCGTCTTTCACAACGTGCCTGGTCCTACCAAACCCGTGGAATCTCAATCATAACTTTGCTTTTGTTTCACTCTATTATTTTTTTTTATTATTTTTTTTCAGCTTGACTAAGATTTGAAAGGCACACTTGAAATTTATTTTAATTTTTTTTTATTATTATTATATTTTAAACACGCCTTATCCTTTCGGTGTATGACAACTCAGCTAAGTCCCACGCACATACACCACCATCATTCTAATTTTTCGCAACACACTCCATTATTGGAACAAGTGACTGTTGCTCTTTTAAACATTACCCATAATAATCTCATCTTTATTTTTTTATACACGTATTTGAAATATATTTCTTCCAAATTTAGATATTTTTCAATCTCATTCACCTAAATGTTCTTTTTTATAAGGTGTTTTCTTCTCTTTTTTTTTTTTTTTTGCCTTTACAATACCTTAATATTTAAAGCTATTTAAGATGGAACACTATCTTTTCCTATAATGATACTGCTTCTTATATTTGAGTGTATGTTTAAATTTTAACCCATTTAATTTTTTTAAGTCCTGAATTAGTATCTTCTACATACAACGGTCTAATTGGGGTAGCACAAGAAAGTCACGGATTTCCACATCTACTATTATTTTTCTAATAAATATGAACTATAGATCATTGAAGCAATCTTTTTTTTTATTTTTGCTACGTGTTTTCAATTTATATCATTTTCCAACTTTCTTTGACCCATATTAGTCAAGTCTTTACCACCTTTACACACCTACTAATACCTAAATTATTCTATCATTGGTAAAGAATAATTAATAATAGATGCCATGAATTGACCGTGGATTTCTCCCATTGGTTTCTTTTTGCATTTGTTTAAGTGGGAAGTGGTAGAAATAAAAATATCTTAGAGTAACCTCATAGACAGCTAATGGTCACTAATTATCATGCACATATATGTAAATGTGATTGTGATGACATGCATTTTAACAATGACATGCTGAATGAAAACACAAGAATAATCAGTAATCCAACCAAATGATAAAAAAGTTAAAGAGGAAAAAAAATTATATATAAAGTGTTTGGATAAACTTTTCCCATAATTACTTCTAAAAGTTAAAACTATCTTATACATAAATTAACCCTTCTTTATATTTTTCACTTTTGAAAGTGCTTTATTAAAGAATGCATGCAACATTTGATAGGGTGATATATATAACTCACCGAAATGGCCAAGTTGAGAGAAGCTAAGGAAGTGGTGCTAGCAATTCTGATTCTATAGGTCTTGTTTGGCTCCACATGAAGAATCTGAGGGGCACATTCTTCACCACCTTTAAAATGGCATTGGGGTAGGGTTGTGTTAATGAGATTTGCTGCAAGTGAACAATTGAACTGTCCTCTTCCATTGATGAGAAGAGTCTGAAAAGGTCAAAAATGGGTGAAGGGTAAGAAAAAGGGTTACCCGACAATTAAGGAAAATTAGTTAAATGTGTTTGTTTCTTTATCCTTTGTATCATCTTTTTTTCTTTCTCCCATTTTAGTCAATAAAAAGCTACTAACGCGTAATGCTTTAGTTTTTTTCAAAGATATAATAAACATTATCATTGCTATCAATTATGCTAGATTTTGTCGCTTCATTGATTCATCATACAAATTTAAAACAAGTTTGATATGGTGAATATTTGTAAAATTTAGATTGAAAATAATATCATTAAAAATTAATTCGACACATCAGTTTTGGAATATATATTTATTTCCAACTGATAATACAATAGTATTTTTATAAACTATTAAAAAATACGGAAAAATAGAATATAATTGCTCTTACTTTTATATTCATCTTTCTCTATCTTAATTATTTAAATAACTTTAGTGGTATGATAATACAATAGTATGAAAAAGTTGAATTGCTTTTTAGTTTTTAGTATGAGTTACTGTACGAGAGATATATATATTTCTCACAATTAATTAAAACCAACTTTTTTATTTCTTGTTAATTTTTGAAGAAAAATAAAAAGATATAAAATACATAAATTGAATACGATACTAAATATGGAATTAATTATTTAATATTTAAATACCGAAACTGTAAATATGTAGTGTCGTCATATATATATATATATATATATATATATATATTAATGTCTATTTATACATAAGATTTTAATTTTGGATAAATACGTATTTAAAGTTTAAACAGATAAGATATTATGAATGGAAATATTCTAAAAAGAGAAAATAAGGTTTTTTTTTACTCTATTGAAAGTCTAAGTGAAGTAAGTTTCAGAAATTTATGAGGATGAGAATATGTATCAAAGTTCAGAGAATTCACCAAAGGAATTTGAAGGAATCTTTATAAGCGATTTTTAAAATTTTCAAACATGCTTGAGGATATCCAAGCCTAACTCATTCAAACTTGAAGTAAAAAGAAAGAAATACCCTATTTCATAATATGCCGCCAGACATGTACCGCATGTTCTGCTGACAGTTTTTTCAGTAAAATAAAATTAAAAATGTCAAAAGTATAATAATATTTATGACTAAATATAAAACGAGTTTAAGTTTTGTTTATTCGTATTGTGAATAATTTTAAATAACAATTATCAAAAGTCTTACTGTAAACTTTATTGAGATTTAATTTTAAAATATAAATTAGATTATTTCTTTACAATTGCAAGGGGAGTTAGGGAAATATACCATATTTCTCTGTTAGAATTAATTCCGGTTCTCACTCTCGGTGAAAATTACAACCGGTTTTGGAATTATCATTCAATCAATGGAGTTTTTATCTTCTTTTTTATTTATTTCTTTTACCATAAATATCTCAATATTGATTTCTTTGGAATTATTAAAGTAATTATCTTTTTCAACAAGTTTTTCTATTTTCTCTAATTGAAAATTTTACATATGATAATATATTTTAAAAAAAATTAACTATTTATTAATTATATGTAAACTTATTAGTCAATTTAGTTTTATTTTTTTAGTAGAGAAAAGAATTTAAATTAAGACAATTGACCGAGACACAACTCTTATAATAATAGAGTTAATTATTACTCTCTTTGAGAATTTTTAATGAAATTATGGTCAGTAAAAAAAGAGAAATTAAATCTGATTCAATGAAATTTGTATTTAAAACAAAGAAATTGAGGCAAATACATTCCATAAAAGTTTTATTTAAAACAAAGAAATTGAGACAAATGCATTCCATATTAAAATATAGACGTTACAATAAAAGTTATCTTTTAAACTTAAAATTTTTCTCATGCTTCCTATTTCTTTTCCTGGGCTAAACTCGATTATCTTGAAATATGTGATAGGGAAAGGGAAAAAAAATGAAAAAAGTAGGAGTGAAGATTTCGAAGATGCCCTAATATAAAAATCCAACACCACTATTTGCTCAAATGGGCCACATGTGCAAGCTCTTTTGGATTACTTTACGGATTATGATATGATTTCGATCTAGAATTTGGATATTTATATCAAAATAATACTATTTTTATTTCTACGTCTCATGTGGGAGGCACCTAAAAAGTTAACATGAGTTGTTTCAATTTGTACATTTCAGATTACGTATAAACATCGAGATCATGCCTCTTAAAAAAAGGGAAAAATAATACTTCCACATTAAATTTAAGTGAGAGAAGATATTCAAGGAAATAAAAAAAAATTAAAATGAACTATCGCGACAAAAACTGTTAAGTATTTAAATAAGAGAAATGTTTGTTAGTATATGATATTATTTCCAGACATCATATACGAATCATGGTAACATGATTTCTATCTTGTTTATTTATTTTATATTTTATTTTAAGTTTATTATCTCCATTCAATAAAATATAAACACGTGGCTTTTCATATTTTTCTTCTGAGAAATCTTTTTTGTACTACATAGCAATGCTAGTTATATTACTCAGTCAAAATAATCAATAAATTTTGTTGGAATGTGTCAAAAGTAAATAGTTGTTGTTGAATAAGTTTAAAATATTTAACCTTAAGTATATATTTTAGCATTTTTTATAATATTATTTGTATGAAATATTTATCAATATTGTCCATAACTATATTTTTTTAAAAAAAATTTGATTGAATAACTCTAGTAATATCTTTCTCTTCAATTACAATTTTTTTTATCAACAAAACTTGAAGCGGGAATCTTAATTAAAGGATCCAATCAAGTTTCAATATTATAAACGACAAAATAGTTTTCCTCTCATCATGCATAAGTAATATTGTTCAAAACAAAATTAAAGGTGTTTTTTTTTTCTTTATTGAAAAAAAAAAAGGGGAGATTTGTGTTGAATGAAATTACCTGAGGTTCACCAATCCATTTTAATGGTTTGGAAGAGAGACCAACTTCTTGTTCATGGGAACTGGTGTGCCACAGATCACTCAAAAGAAGGTTGAACTCACCATCGTAATGAAACGATTCGTTTTGTCCCTTGGGCAAATCCACAATCAACGAACCATACAACCCTGCTGCTCTTTGCATACCGTAGTGTCCATGGTAGAAATATGTACCAGGCTGCACCGGATAAACAAACACCCATCAATATTCATCACAATTCACATTCAAATAGAAAAATAATAACATGGTATTTTGAATTATTAAGTTATGGGTGGGGTAATTGTTGAAATGCAAGCAAAATTTCACATCCCAAATTGTAACACATTTTAGTCAAATAAAAAAATATGGTAAAAAAAGAAATGTAATTACCCTGTCAACTGTAAACCTATAATGAAAAGTCTCTCCAGGGTTTATAGCACACTGTGAGATGGCAGCAGTTCCATCTGCCCAAGGAGTTCCAAGCTGCAAACAAAAGATAACAACATGGTATATATTTTGAGTTAACTAAGTAAAACCATATAGAAACATAGGATCAATTAACAATAACATGAACAAATATATATATACAAGAAACATAAATAATAGGGTAAAGAAAAGAACCTGTCTGATTCCATGCCAGTGAATAACAGTTCCCTCAGTGAAGAGTTTGTTGGTGAGGGCAATATCAAGTGTGTCACCCACTTCAGCTCTAATAGTGGGGCCTGGAAACTGACCGTTGATTCCCATCACAACGTGTTCCAAGCAATCTGGTGTTTTGATCATGTACTCCACATCGAACTTGTAGTGTCTCACACTTCCTCCGAGTGACAACTGTACCAACCCCAACCATATGCACCAAACAAAAACACCTTTCAACCCCATTGTTGCTTTGCTCAGAGGTGCTCAACAATGGAACCAACTCAGAGAGAGTTTCTTTTTTTATATGGTGGTACCATTGCCTAGGTAGGAATATATATAGAGGGGAAAAAGTTGCTTTGAGCTTTCACATCGTGATGTTCACTTCTTTTCAAATTATATTAATCTTCTTTTTAGCGCGTGCTGTGTTTTTTTTTTAATGCATCAACTTGTTCTTTGTATGTATAATCCACTATTTTAGAAGTAAAGAATTATTAGGTGGGTATTTTTATCAAAGTCGCTTCAAGCTTAGTAAATTATTTCTGGTCATCATCTTAAGCAAGAGCTAGCAAGATGACAAAGCAATAATACAAGGAAGTCATTGTTTATTATTTTAGAGAACCGTGTTTATTTTTATTTTTCCATGTGCATATCCATATTTCAAAACTTATAACCAAGAACTATTCCTTACTTGTATAACGTAATTTTTATTTATTAAATATTATTTTAACATAAAAATGAATCACATCTAAAAGTATTAGATCAACTTTGTGTAACCCAAGAGACAATTTTCAATCAGGGGTCAAGGGGTTTGAAAGAAGTGTTTTATTTAAATACAAGAATAATTGTGTGTGTAGAGATAATATAAAGGAATTTTATAATGTTATTTAACTATAAACAGTAAGTTTATTAATTTTTTTTTTTACAATAACTATATGTTAATAGTAATTTTGAATTAGTCAGTGGTATAAAACTTTTACGGTGATATGGTACATAAAATTTAAACTTAACATAAAAGATAAAAAACTTATTGATAAAAATATTTTAAAAACAATATTCTTTACCGATTTGTAAAGTTTTTTTTATTTTATAGAATTTTTTTTGTTAGAATACACTAAACTCTGTAAATAATTTTTACACGGCCATCTAAATTATAAATTATCATTTTCCTAAAATAATTAATTTGAATGTCATATAAAAAGTAATTATTAATCGATTCATAATGTACGTAGAAATTTATTGGTAATTAAACTCTTGAGAAAATATGGTTATTTTTCTTCTAATTTTATTTCCAATTTGTTAATACACTATTTAGCTGAAAGGAAGGGAAAAGAGATACTTTAATGAAAGGAAATGAAAGAGGAAAGTTAGAAATTTTGTTTAATTGAGAGGAAAAAATAATATTTTTTATTTGATTCACAAAGATAAAAAGAGAATTTAAAAATTAATTTATTTTAATATTTTTATAATTTTAAATTTAAAAATATAATAAAAATATTATATTAAAAATATTTTAAAATTTATTTTCTCTTTCAAAATTTTTAATATTAAAAGAGAGTTAAAATTAAATGAACAAGGATTTCACTCCATTCTATTCACCTTGCTCCCGTCCTAAAATTTAAAAACCAAAAAAAAAAAAAAATCCCCTCCAAAGGAATGTTGTGTAAAGGAAATAGATCAGAAAGAACGTGGCATTCGCAATTTGAAATAAAAGTTTTAATATTACTAATGTGTTTCACTGTAATTCTAATGAAAATATTAATTCTTTATAAGAAGACCTGCAAACGAAAGAAAAATTGTCCATAGCCATTTTCGTTCTTGAAAAAGACAGTATTAGCCCTCTCTACCGATACCACGTTCATGCTACGATTCTCTGTCTAATAATTTATTCTTTGGGACCGATTAATTTGCTAAAAAAACAAGGTACATCCGTACATTATAATAAAAATATTTTTGTTTTTTTTAAAATATATTTTGATATAAAATGCTTATGAACAACATAAATCAACAAAATATTGACAAGTACTAATTTTTTTCTAATAAATTACAACATATATTAAATATTTAACAAATAAAATATTTATACTATTACTTATTTTTTATTTAATAGTTTTTTTTCTTTTCCACCTCATTATATAATCACACACTACAAGAAAAATGATTATTATCTACGGAATATTATCTACGGAATTTTTTTCGTAGATAATTTTTAAAGTTATCCAGCTTAATATTTCTTAGTTCACTAGTAGTAGTGCGATTCCACTAAGTGTAGAGACCATGGTGGGTCGTTACAATCATCATCTCTTTTACTACCAAAATCACAAATGTGCATTATTGTCAACACAATTACTATTATTATTATCGTTAATTTTATACCATCATTGACTGTGCAACCACCAGTGTACCATTATCTTCATTGTTATCGTTGACATTATCATCATATGTTATTATTAATATGATTATCATTATCATTATTATTGCAACTATTATCACTGTCATACTAAAATAATTAATACTTTATGCAATCTTTATTATAAAACACTTCTAACATAATCATACAAACAAATGTAAGAAATTATTTTAATGAATTTTATTAATTTTATAAACTAAAATCATGATGTACAATTTTATTATATTTATTTATCATTATATTATTATAGAAAAATACATGAAGATATTAACTTCGATATCAAAATTTATGTATCAATATTTATAAAATTGAGATTACTTAATATTAAAGTTTATTGAATTAATTATTATAAAAAGAACAATAAAATGAATTTTATATTATTTATTCAAGTTGTTCATAATTCACATAACAATCCGTATATTAAAAAAATATCTTAGAATTTATAAATATTTATTAATATTATTGTCCTTGGGTTATATCTTAATGTATATCAAACCTTTGTATGTGTGACACTAATTCTACCCCCAACATATATATTGTAATAATATAAAGGAATAAAGAAATAAAATTTTAATAAAGGTAAAATGGTTTACATAAATATAATTCAAATACCAAATGATTTAAAAATAAAATTTAAAATAATAAAAGTTCAATAAATGTTCCAAAAGAGATCAATACAACTCTAAATATAAATAACTTTCATTTCTAGAAAATCCTTACCCCGATGTCACACTACCACAGCATACCCATGACTCAGCTATTGGCATCCTGAATTTCACTTATATCCGGATCTTCCTCACCTAAAAACAACAAGATATACGGTAAGAAAAGAAAATATTTATATATAAAGCACACTAGGAAATTCCACAATATAGTTTAATACTACACAATATATAAAATCACAAGTTCCAACATTCAGACATGTGCAATTTTATCTATATCCAATCAATAATTTTCATCATCAAATCTCAAATCATATATGTACACACATCATCCATATCCACCATACCACACAACCAGCACATGTCATGCTAATGCCACTACTATCGTATCACATGCCCAACATCGTGCTACGTCGACATATGTGCTAATTGTCACACACATCCTGCACTATGTCATGCTCATGCCACCGTTGTAGCATTACATGTCCAGCGTCGGGCCACACCAATATATGTGCTAATTGCCACACAAATCTTGCACTATGTCATGGTCATGCCACCGTTGTAGCATTATATACCCAACGTCGTGCCATGCTGACATATGTGCTAATTGTCACGCATATCTTGCACTATGTCATGCTCATGCCACCGCTATAGCATCACATGCCCAGCATCATGCCACGCTGACATATATGTCAGGACATCATACCATAATCCACATCTCAGTTCCAAGGCATACACAATCAACATAGCACTTCAAAATAATAAGTCATACTCACATATCATGCAATTCACCAATTAAGTTGCATCATGTCATCTAAAATTACAAGTAGACCAAACCAATTTTCATAACCATAATATATTGTGTATAAATCGCAAAACATCACAAATAAAACATAGAATATGTAATTCAGGATCGCACTAGGCGTGCCCCAACTACCACCCGGCGTGACCCTAGTCACGCCTAGTGAATTAAACGCCGAACCAAATGCAGAGCTAGGATGCCCGACCGCCCTAGAGCACACTCGATGAATTAAATGCCGCGTGTAAAGCAAGATTTTCACGTCTAGCATCCAACATAGCATGCCCAACGTAAAGCCCTCTAGAGGCTCAAGCCCGACGGGGTCCCACGCGTGCCCAGTGCGAGAGTCCCTAGGAACAATGTTCACAATTTATGAATTTGCACCCAGCGTGGAGAACTCCACCAGGTGCCCATGCAACTTCCCAAAATTGTGAACAATTATGAATACACATTTAAATCCCAACCACATCATATAGTACATTATTTGATCAATATAATCAGTCAAATTGTTTACTATTACACGAAGACATAACCTATATTACTAATTCTACAAGATCATACCTTAATTAGTAAAACTCCCAATTTCCCAAAAATCTAACCTACATACACTTTTAAAACAATTTCATTCTTGTAACGACCCGCCTGACCATCACACTGTAGAACAATACCACACAGAAGTAGAATATGCATACATAAAAGAATATATACATATGTCCAGCCTGAGGCTCAACAAGTTAAAGTATAACTAATACTAACAAAATGCTACACTGAGGTAGCCTACACAAAATATCAGCTCCAGCCACCACTTGTGACACTACTGCTACTCTTCAGCCTATCCCTACTCTGTTCTCATACATAGTATGATCATCGTAGTCAAAACCACATGGAAACATGCAAGGGTAAGCTAGTGAAAATAATCAACATATAGATATAAACAACTTACAACTTTAACAACAGAAACAACATTTTCAATAGTTCAACGTTCAACAGATAACAACACCCAACTGAATCACAACTTCACAACACAACAACATATATACAACTCATATTTACACCAATTCAACTCATCAACAACTTATGCGTCGTCACGCAGTTATAACTCGGAGATCTCCTACAATATGGGTGAGCAGTCTAAGTGGCTAGGCCCTACCGAACCGACAACAAATAACCTTTTTGGGCTTATTATATTATTATAGAAAAATACATGAAGATATTAACTTCGATATCAAAATTTATGTATCAATATTTATAAAATTGAGATTACTTAATATTAAAGTTTATTGAATTAATTATTATAAAAAGAACAATAAAATGAATTTTATATTATTTATTCAAGTTGTTCATAATTCACATAACAATCCGTATATTAAAAAAATATCTTAGAATTTATAAATATTTATTAATATTATTGTCCTTGGGTTATATCTTAATGTATATCAAACCTTTGTATGTGTGAC